GTGAGCCTTTATCCCAGAGCGCTTAGTGCAGTGGTCACCAACCAGTAGATCGGGATCTTCTGGTAGATCTTAGAGCCTCTGACAGGTGATCCTAACTTGTTTTGCTCCATGGCTATCAAGTGCCAGCACTTCAGCTGCTGCTCCTCCTCCCACAGCTGTGCATCTCTGGCCTTTTGCCTTGGAGCTGTTCTTCCAAGACCCTCCTGCTTGCTGGGCAGAGGAGGGAGAGGCGGGCACTGATGTCAAGGTGCCCCCTTCTCTCACCCTGTATCCCATCTCCACAGAACAGAGGGGAGGCACAACAGGACTAGAGATGAAGTTTGCTGGCTGCTTTTGGGAGAGGTGCAGGGCTACAGCAGGGGTGAGCCTGCCTTAGCCCCACTGCTCCATCACCCAGGAGCTACCTGGGGCAAGCAATGTCCAGCTGGAGCCCATATCTTGAACCGCTACCCCAGTCACAAACACCTTCCCATACCTCAAGCCCCTGCCTGAGCCCTGAGTCCCCATGCATCCAGACACCTTCCCAGGGCTGGCACCTAGAACCTCCTCCTGCACCCCAACTGGCTGCCCTAAGCTCAGCTCAGAGTCCCTCACAATCTAAACCCCTTCACCTAAGACAAGAACCTACACTCCAACCTTCTGTCCCAGCCTGGTGAAAATGAGTGAGGGGAGGGGGCGGAGGGAGGATGGAGTGAGTAGGGGTGGGGCCTCAAAAGAGGTGGGGCAAGGATATTTGGTTTTGAGGTAGATCTTGGATTGCATTTAAATTCAAAAAGCGATCCCGTGCTTAAAAAGGTTGGAGACCACTGGCTTAGTGACTGTTTTAGGATTAAGTTCTAACATCCACCTGTGTCCTTGGTCTGGCAGAGACAGGATAGCTCAAGGTGGATGCCTCATAGAGGTATTCATCATTCAGCACTCTGGCATATCAACCATGTTACCCAAATCATCACACCTTCACTTCAGACTAATTACGTTAGAGAAGAAACAGGTGACCCAGGAGAAGAGGGAGTAAACAGAACTACTTTATTGCCCAACACAACGTACGAATGGCTCAATTCCCCCTTTGGCCCCCTGTAGCTCCTTAAAATTGTATTCGATACCCCCTTTCTAGGGCTGGGCCAGTTGCCAAATTCAAGTTTGATCCGGAATATAAAAGATACTTCACCTCAGGCCCCTTATTCACCATCCCTTGAATCACTCACCAGTATCAGTGGCAATGCAGCTCTCCAGCCCTCACTGGGAGGTCCGTGCCCACACCCTCCTTTACCTCAAGTCCCTGTGCTGAGCTGGCTGGCCCTGCCCTTTTTACCCTTCTTGATGAATGGTCCCTTTCCATGGACACAGGTTTACTCTACCAATTTAGCAAGGAGAGTAGAGTGGTGTCTTTAACTAGCCTCCATACCTCCTGGTCCCTTTCTTAAACATTTCAAATGTCCTATGTTTGTGTACCTCGGGGAGAGAATGAGGGAAACAGGAATTTACTAACTTTAAAGTAGAAACTCTGCAGCAGATGGCTGAGAAGCAGCACACTGTTAATTATTAGGGTGTGTTGGCAGCCAGGATGGCTGAAAACTGCATGGATGATTTTTAATCGCCTTAAGTCAGAGAATCTGGCCCTGAAGGGTCAAGCAGATGCCTTAAGCAATCTCACCCCCCTCTGACTTTTACCCTCTCTATTCTCCTACTTCTGTTACCCCTTTCTGCCCCTCTTTGAAGCAGAATTCCTTTGTCGGTTTAGCTTAAAGCCATTGGTACAGAGGTTGTCATAAGTAGACCACAACTGCTTTTGAACAAACCCTGAAATCTTTTTATTTACTTACTATTATTTTTAATAATTTTCTCTGGAGTCTACACCTTGCCTGTGTTTCATTGAAGAAATTTAGATCTTGACAAAAAATCATTGACATTAGGATCCGGTTTAAACTGAAATGTGCCCATGCCAGGGCATGTGCTGTTCAGTGGAACCTAGCTAAATTGATACTAGTTTGTAGGCAGTGCAGACCATAGTAATAAAATTCCTGAACAACTACATCAGTATGTAAAATACTCATTTCGATCAGTGTTCTTGGCTTTATTTTACTGCTGCTTGGAAAAAGCTACAAACAGCAAGTCATGCAACCAGCAGTTTGTAGTGGAGAGAGGACTAAAACAAGCCAGCCTGAGGGTGGGATAAACTAATTAAGAATCCCCTCGCTCTCATCTGTTTTTTTGCAGCATCTGAACAAAGGAGGCAGGCAGAGATTCTTATCCAGAAATCAGGGAGGAATGATGTATATCCAGTATGGAAAGGCTTGCATGAAAGATAAACCTCCCGGCAGGTTCAAAGTATGGTGCTCTAAGATAAATTCTACTTATTTCCAGCTGTTGAGAGGAAGAGTATGTATGGGTGGGCTGAGTTTGTCAACATGGATTTTGTTGCATCTCCACAAAAGCTCTTGTATTGATCTCTGAGTAGTAACATACATATTTAGTTGCTATGTGTCTTGTAAACTTCACATCTAATTTTAATATCTTTTAAACAGATACTAACAAGTCTCTGATGGCTCATTAAAATTAATCATTAAATAGAAGAAACAGTTTAACTCTTTTGGAGCACACCATATTGTTGTAAAATTTGAACGCTTGAGAGCCAAAGTTGTATTGTAAATAGAACTTTCTAAGATGGAGAGAGAATGACCCTGTGGAACTTTGCCTATGCTAACTGATTTACTTCAAAGATTTGACTTTGACTTACTAAAACTGGGCTTTTCAGGAATTAGCTAATTCATTATTGCATTTCTGTCTTAAGCTAATTTTAATCCTGTTGCACTCTGCTAACAATATAGCACTATTTGTTTCTATAATGTTAAGATTATATATATACTCCACTTTATAGCCCACATGAATTTAGATTGATTGGCTTTACAGTAGTGCGCCTTTGTCTAGAAATATTCCTAAAATAATTCAGTGAGGTGAGTCTTGTGAGTGATGCTGTATATAGTGGAGCCAGTCCTGTACTCTTCAGTAAACAAAAAAATTCCAGCATCGTAGAGTGGAATTAGTTTTACTGAGATTACATTTACACTACAGCAGAAAGAAACTTTAGCTACGCAGTTCCAGCTACTTGAATAATATAGCTGGAGGCAACGTACCTTAAGTCAAGTTACTGTGGGGTGGTCGACTGGAGAAATTCTCCCGTCAATTTCCCTTGCTTTTCTCTGGGATAGAGTAACAGGATTGACAGAAGAGCAGTCTGCAGTCAGTTTGGAAGGTCTTTGCTACACCCACTAGGTTGACAACCATTGGATTGATCTCAGAGCGTGAATCTGAGCTGTAGTGTAGGTGTAGCTTGAGGAGTGAACATTTGCCAAGATGCCATAAGTTATCTACCTCTCAAATTTGAAACTTACATGTGAATGCAGATGCTCAGGACTTAAGAGCCCAAGTTTTTATCTGAACCACAGTTCTCATTGCCCAGAAGGTAGTTTGTTGCTAGTTTTTGTTTTGTTTGTTTACATTAGACTGAGGTTTTTTTTTGGTTGCAGCTTTGACATGTAACATCTTGAGAGGACAGAGTTATGACATTCACTGATTTTAACAATAAGTTAGCAGTCTAAATTGGACAGCAGGAGAGGGTCTTCTAATAGAAATCTTTTTGTCCTGCAGTTTAAAAAAAAAAAAAAGTGTAATGGTTTTCATACAAGCTGACTGGGTTGTCTAATGGCAGCTAAGAGAGATTTAAATCTCAAATGGGGTCTTTTGGTTCCAGCAGCTGAAATGCATCTGAGGGCTTCCTGTGCCGCTCCTATAGAAAGTTTCAAGAAAATGAAAAAGCTCAGTAGGTCATTGTCAAATTATCTAACAAAGCACATGCAAAAATTACGTACAAAGAATATCATTAACGTTGCAAAGACCATTAATGTCAGCGTTCAGGTTTCTTGGGCAACATTAATTACTTTCTCCTGTGCATATGTATTCTAATACAAACCTTAAGTACATGGTCACAATTATCCATAGGACTCTTGCTTCATTCAGTGTGCAGAATGGACAGTGCTCAGTTAATAAGCAACTATTTTGTTTTCTCCAGGTGGTTCATTGTGTCATTCCAGGCCATTGTTCTATGCACAGTATTCAAACCCGCCTCTATAGACTTTTCACTTTCTTCTGAGATTTTCTGTGGCATTCAGCACTAAATACTTGTGAAATGGTCAAAGACTAATTTGTTTTCAAAACCTCACTGTGATGTGAATGGGGTGGTGTTATCCCTGTTTTACAGGCCTATAGTCTGATTTTTCAAAACAATTTTAGCATTATATAGCACTTAATATGTGTAAAACAGAGCTCCCATTGAATTTAGTTGCAGTGGTGAGTGCTCAGTACTTTCAGATTCCAGGGTCAGAAGTCAGACAACCAAAGCATGAGGAATATCACATAATTAATGACCATCAATGAAAAGGTTAATATGAATAACTCGAGTAAAATCACATAGAAAGTATGTAGCATAAGTAGGAATATCATTCATTTCACCTTGACCAATATGGACAAACTTTTCATATCCAGTGTAGAAAACTTGCAACCAAATGGTTCAAGTTATGCAACAGAAAAAAGGGTCCTATAAAGGGAAATATCAAGCAACCTTAATAGGCAGTGGTACCAGCGCTACCTATAATTGATCCCTTATATTAGGGTGCTGAAGAAGTACATTCAGTTCCCGTCTCAGAAAAATCTAAAGTCTTGAAGGAAATAACTTTTTGGAATCGTGGCTATTTGGGCACTGGGAAAAGTAAAGTAGAGTGCATATTTAAAATAAATATAAATCTAGCTATAATGTACTTTCTTTATCCTATTTAAGGTAAAAGATGACTGTAGTAAATGACTTGAGTACAGTAAATGAAAATAACTAGTTTCTCTTGCTGCAAAATGCATTAATTAGGGTGTGGGTGGGGGAAGAGACGTTAGTTGCTGTGTATATATCTCGGACTGGGTTTCTGTTTGACCTAAAGTCTGTCTTGATGCAGCAGCACAAGCCAGCGAGGAGATGGTCATGTTTCACCGTGAACGCAGCACATTTAGGCGTCAGGCAGTACGGCGCCGGCACAATGCAGGGAGTAATCCCACCCCTCCCACATTGCTCATCGGATCACCCCTCAGGTATGGTATCTAAATGTTCCACCCTCTTTAGCATGCATGCAGCAGACTACATATTTCCCACACCCACTAGCATTGCCAAAAATCACTCTCCTCACCTTTAACCTTTTTGGGCTGTCTCTGCATGTCTTTGGAGTTGTTGAATTGTGCATGTGTACGTGGCAGTCTTTCTCCACATTGGCAGTTAGCCAATCTCTTAACATGGCACCTGTGGTTTAGAGTAACCACCAAAAAAAATGACAAACTGACTTGTACTCAGTTCTCTTGAAACTTTAATTTCATGTCAAGTCTTTAGATACTTTACATTTCAAATATAAATAAGAAAAAGCTAAATTAGTTTCTTTTTCTGCCAAGGGGAAAGTGAGGAATATGAGTATCCACACATCTCAGGGATTGTAGAGGGGAAGGGTTCACAACATACTATTAGGATAATGTAAATAGCTAAACCATCTTGCAAATGTTTTAAATCTTAGGACGCAGACATGAAATAATTCATAAACTAGCATAATCTTGTTTTTAGATGTAATAAATCCCATAATATTGCTTGGAGGTAACTCTACTTATATGTGGTACTTGATACATGTTAGGGTATAAAATACTAGGACTGGAAGGGACCTCGAGAGGTCATCGAGTCCAGTCCCCTGCCCTCATGGCAGGACCAAATACTGTGTATATATCTGTATATTCTTAATGCCTTGCCCTCAACCTTAGTTAACAACTAATTGCTCCCAATATTCAGAATTTATAAAATAATATTGAATATTAGGATTGAAACTTTCGAGGTCTTGCCTTTAGACACTTGGCATCAATTTTTCTGTTCTTTGTGGGGGGAAAAAGGAGAGTTACCCTTAAGTAAGAATGTGCATATCTTCTGTTTCTTTGAAGATGATGTTTTATCTTGAAGAAAATGCAAATCTGGTATAAAGCAGCTTACATTTTTCCGTCTTCCTCCCTATTTGGTCATCTCCTCTTAGATTCTAAAAAATAAGATACAGAATTTGACACTCTGCTCATTTGCATGCAGTGGCTCATGTAAATAAGACGGTGGGGCTGAGAGAAAGTTTAAAATCTGTTTCCTGTGTCTTACACTTACTCAAGTGTGTCTTCCATTTCCCCCCAAATATAGTTATTTCTCAGTTGTTCCTACATGGAAGATCAGTTGTTTTTCTCCCCTCCAAATCAGTTGCATTGGTTTGTTTTATGTGTATAGACATGCTCTCCCTGAATTTTGGAACCCACTTTTTTAATGAAGATGCATAGGTCTAACCCTAGGCACCAGTAATCGGCTGCTGAGATGGAGAGAGAGAGAAACTACTCAAGAATTTCAGATAATGTTGTTAGAGTATGGGGTACTTGAGTAATTAGAGGCAGCTTGGATTCTGATACCAGTCTAGCCTACTTCCATTATCCAGGATACAAGTTAATGAGGAACACTTTTATTGGCTATTACTATACATAGCAATACTGAGTTGGTTTTTTTAAAAAAAATACAGTTTACTAAAAGAAAAGCAGATGTTGATCTTTATTCTGATTGATTGAACATAGATAATTTTTAAACAGTTTTGAAAAGTGAATAACCTAACATTGAGGGCCATAGTAACTCTCCATATTTTCTTGATTCACCTCTGTCTGCTCGGCATCATATTTGCAGTGTGTTCTCTGCTCTTCTGATGGAGGTAGAGTAATTATATTTTGTCTGTTGGAGATCATGCAACTCAGTTTGAGTACCAATAACTGCGCAAAAGCCTGAGATTGGTAATATCTGGACCAGAGAGAGCAGAATATGAAGCAAATGAGGAACTGGACCAGAGAGAGCAGAATATGAAGCAAATGAGGAACTGGACCAGAGAGAGCAGAATATGAAGCAAATGAGGAACTATCTCAGATATCTCTGCTGCTTAAAACTGTAGCTGGCAGCTGCCACCTTCTCACCTGCCAATGTAGACACCAAGATTTCCATGACACCTGTGACATACTGGTGGATTTTTGTGGTGGGGACAATGAGAGCGCTAAACTTTGAGAATATAACTTTTTATTCAATGACAAATATTCAAGAATGAGAAAATACAGACAAATTTTGGCCAAGTAAATTATCTTCTTTATATATGTTGCCTCTGCCCTGATTTGTGCCTGTGTGGAACCCATTATTTTAGATCTCTGAAGATCTACAAAGAAGCACATAACCAGGAATAAACTGAAATTAAGTGTTGGGAATGTGCATGTAGAGCCAAATACTGGTAGTGGACACCTTAGAAAAAGTATTTGGTGCTGGCTAGGAGCTCAATATAGTATAGTTTAAAATGTCTTAGCCTATGGTATATCTGACTTCCAGTCAACCAGTGTTACAAATGACCTCATTCTTACAGCAAGAGGCTCAACAGTTGTTGGTTATAGATTTCTTTGAAATACAAACTGATTTTTTTAATGATTCATGTTAATAATTCTTTAGAGTTCTAAACAACTGGTGAGGGGTGGGAGGGGAAAGTGCTCCCTTTGTAACTTGGTGTTAATGGGAGTTGTATTTGCACTGAAGAAACTCAAGTAAGAAATAAAACCTCAGGGTGCCAAAAAAAAACAAACAAACCACACGCCATAGAAATATGAATATAATCCATTACAAGCTGATTTTACAAATTATTGGAAAATTGTTGATTACTGCAAATATGTAGGTATTTCCTATTTCTGCTAATAGGAAGTAGTTCTCTCTGTAGTTCTTAGATTGCTAAAACTCAATCATTGCAAGTTACAAACTTAAATAACAGCTAGGCATATTAACCTTCAGTTGCCCTGATACCGTTTTCTTAAGTATTCTTGCCAATGAGACTTTTCTTTCCTTATCCCTTGACTGTGGCATAATAGTAGATGTCCTAGGGATGGTAATTAGAAGACATGTGCAATTGCACTTCAGATTTCCAATGTACATTTTTACAAGGGTATATTGGCACTGAAACATTTTTATTAAACTAAACAAATTGTGTTGGTAACTAGATATTTGACCATGAAAAAGATTTTAAATTAGTCTCTAGTAAACGGATGGCGTTTTGATAAAGTAGGTATGTGGATATATAGTGTCCCATTTAAAAACAGATTACTTCCAGATGACCTGATAAGTACCAGTATTGTGTTGGGCACTTCAGACATAACGCTGGCACACTAACTTCAATGTGCATGACAGTCTGGACTTGTAAGATTGTTAAATTTACTTGTGTTTGAAATGGAATGGCTCAAGCAGCTTTTTGTATTCAGAATTATCTTGTGAATAGCTGTCCCTGTTAGATATTCTTTGCAAACTGTTCCTCGGTATTTAGCTTTCTTATTGTCATAGTATTTGATAGTTAAAGGAAGTTAATAAGTACAACTTTTAATTTGTAGCTGTTTTTGAAGGAAAGTCTATTCAGGTAATTATAGGCTGTTCAGATTAGTTTTATTGTTTTGCTTGGTAATGCTCAACTGAGTCAGTGTTGTATTCTTGAGGGATGATGTGTCTTTGAATCTTACTTCCCTAAGGACTTCTGTTACCATGTAGTTCATTGAGAACCTTGTCTGTGGCAGCAAAACACGAAATTAAATAAGATTGAAAAGCATTAAAACCCAAATACGTTAAATAGTGGTAGTGATGTGGAAGCTTGCTTTTGTTCATGTGCTGTGTGCATGTCTGCTTTTTGTGCATGTGCTTTTTTAACACCCATTCTGAATACATAATCTTGTGGTTTTTCCAATGGTTTTGTGAGAAGGGAACTGAAAACAGAAGTTCTAGAATATATTCTGTTGGCGTAATAAGGTATTTTTATATAAAACTCAGTTGTTGTCTTGTTATGCAGATGTAGAATAGCATCTTCCTTAATGGCACCAGAAACCACCTATACACTGAATTGCTAAAAAGAATGGACGCTGATGTTCTTTGAATCATAGGGGAAACCTGATTTGCCCAACCAAACAATAAAATATTCAACATAATAGGACTCTCAAGATAACTTCTTATTTGAACAGAGAGAAAAAAAATACATGTATTATATATTGCAGTTGTGCAACATTTAATTTCTTACTTCACAAAATGAAGGAAGACTAAAAATACAGTAGCCTAATATGTGATCTGCAAGCCACATTTTTAAAAGTAGCATAAATTCTGTGACTTTTTTTGGGGAGGAGGACTAATTTATTTTGGAAGACTTCAGTCATGGCTTAGTATGACCACCTACAGTGTGTTACTCCAGCAGTTCCCAACCACAGATTGGTGCTAGGCTGTGAATCACTGGGGGTCGGAGCTGAAGCTGTCAGTTTGCGGTGGCCTTAGGGTCTGGGGCTGAGGTCCAGAGTTGATGTAACTCATGTGGGCCCCTACCAAAAGCAGATATTTAACAGGTCAGCAGCTCTTGCTTTGAGAAGTACCAGAGGCATTTAACAATTAAAAAGATGTTGTCTCTGGTAATTAAATATTTTAAAGTAATCCCTTATACAACCTTTCCATTTCACATGCAAATGAAAGTTATGAATAGCATTATGTGCGACAAATTATAAAGCAGTAAGAATAAGCAATTTTTAATTGGTGTAGTAGAGGACTTGGAATATATTTACTTGGCTAACCTCTAAATACTCTGCTGTACAGCACTCCTGAGGAGTTAGCTTATTTAAAAGGTCCAATGGATTTCTTACAGTATGCTTTATTTTAACTTTGTCTTTTTAATAGCTTTGTTACGTCACTTCTAGCTATTTTTATTCTTCCCTGTAATGTTTCCCCAATCCCTGTTTTTTCGTAGCCTTCAAGATGGTCAGCAAGGCCAGCAATCCACAACACAGGTCAAAGTCCAGTCCCGCCCCCCTTCCCAGGCAGCTGTGCTCAGCGCTAGCGCTTCCTTGCTGGTGAGAAATGGGAGTGTCCACTTAGAAGCATCACATGACAATGCATCTGCTGTAGGCGGTAGCAGTTTGCACGATGAACTTGGTATGCAGGCCTTATGTAACCTTGGTGACATGGACGTTTAAATGCAGCAGATTTATGGGTAATATTGCACTGAAATTAATTTAAACTGAGATCTTCATTTCAGAAATGTGTGGATGCATTTCCTAGTGGGAAATATTACTTCTGTTAATTTCCCCACTCCTTCGTAATTGTCTTCTCCCCTGCCTTTCTTTTAGCAAGTATATTAAGAAAATACCCTTAAAAGAGGGAGAGATTTAAGTGATGTTGTGTTTTCAAGACTTGAACAGCTAATAGTTGCACTTTAGAAGCTGCTTGAATTAACTCTATTGGTTTCTATTGACTCTATTTCATTTTGATCTCCGAGTTTAGCAGGGATTGAATTCTATACTTCAGTGGTTTTGTCTGAGTGTTTAAAAATGTACTGGCTCTGAAAGTCTCCAAAGGATTCCTTTTCCTAGTGGGTCATGATATATTGGACCTTCAGGGTGTGTGTGCAGGGAGACAGACAATGCCAGTTATTGCATGTTCCATTTGTAAGAAGTCAGAAACTTAACTCTTATTGAAACATCTCACTGTTCATATTTCTGAGAATTTCTAATAAAACTTTATGTGAATGTCCTGCTATTGCTGTAACCAGCATTAAGTTACCACAGTCAGGAAGATATCTTCTGCCTGTAATGTTACTGGTCGGTTGGAAATTTCTGGACTTCCCCTCTTTCAGTCAGTCTTTTATTCATTGGGTGATTTTTAGTGCTTACTTGAAAGTCTTAAGGCACTTTGCAAATATTAAACATCTTTAACCACTTGTGTAAGTTTAGTAAAATCATTACAGATAGGGAAACTGAGATTCACTAATGTTAAATGACTTGCCCAAGATGATACAGTAATCTCGTTCGAGATTAAAGTAGACTTGAGACAGTGGTTCTCAAATTTCATTGCCCCCTTTCTTTGTGTCTATTCTTGTGGGGGGGTTGTAAATAGCTACATATAGTGCTACCCAGTAGAGATGTGAATGGATAACCAGTAAGCCTCAGCCTTAACAGGTGAGGCTTACCAATTCTAATTAATTGGTAGAGGCTGGAGCATCTCCCTGCCTGTTACTGGCAGGGAGCTGTCCAGGCCTGCGGGGCCTACCGCAGGCAGGGGCTGTTCCAACTGGCCGACTGTAGCAGCCCCTCTGTGTGGCAGGCCTGGCCTGAGTAGCACACTATAGGCAGGAAATGCTCCGGCTGGCTAGAACAACTCTTGTCCATGGTGGAGGAGGAAGCCCCCCACACCTCTTTTAATTGCCTTACTGGTTAAGTCAATTAAACAGGATTTTACATCATTGCTACCCAGCTCTAAAGGAAGAGTAGAGAGGAGTGGCTGCTGACTCGGTGTCCAGTCTGAAGACAGCACCAGCATAACAATAAATGTGGAAGATGAAAAATGAGTGTCATCAATACAGGTTGGATCTCCCTGGTCCCGCACCATCGAGACCTGACCTGTCCCAAAAGAAGGAATTTGGCAGCTATGGGGAGGTCCTCTGCCACTGGCCTCCCAGAACGTTCCCCCTCCCCGTGTCTGGCTCTGCTCTGGTGCAGTGCCTTTGGGCTCCAATTTTCAGGGGTTGAACTTGGGCTCCATCCCATTGTCTCTGGCCAGCTGGGGACAGAGCTTCCCAGCTGCCATGGCTCCTCTTTTCCGTCAGCTGCTGGGGCTCCGTCGGCGGCCCGCCCGCTCCCGCT